AGAAAACTTCTTTTTAACACTTTTACTTAAAGGCAAGGATTCTGATTTCTCAAAATCTGAGTAAGCAAACCAGCACATACTTGTGTGTTGCTAAAGCATCGTGGATCAATGTGTTCACGTGCAAGTCCTTCTTTCCATCTCTGGCTTCATGGGCTCTTTTCTTTTTTCGTGTGCTAAAGACTTAGTTAAGCTATGTCTGGCCTTGATTCAGCAAAGATTTAAGCTCATACTTAGAATTAAACACTCTCATTGCAGATTCCGCTTTGTGAACTCTTAGATATTTGCTTCTGCTCTCATACTGTGGAGTGTCTCTGGTGAATATTCTGACACCGGAACAGTCTCTTTCATTATGGTATATTTTTCAGTTTCACTCCTGCTATCTTTTTAGAAAACAGCTGTATTCTCCAACTTAATTGAATTCACAAATTAAATCCCAGTTGCCTCTGTAATTTATTGCTCAAGCTCTTCTCTTTCCTCTGCTGCTTTTCTTCACATAAGATCTTTCTTTTTCTCCTAAGAAAAATAGATACTATATCCTCTTCCTTCTGTCCTTTCTCCTCCACTGTCAGAGCAGCAGAAGTTTCTTGTCTACTTTCCATCTGTACCCCTTCCACTTGCCCCAGTGACCCCATGTTCTGTTCTTCCTCTTATTTCTTCCCTCCCTTATTCTCTTTCTTAACCTCTCACTGTCCTCTGGCTCTTTTCCACTTGCAATATAAGCAAGCATTTGCCTCTTAAAAATTGCACCTTTGACCCTCCTTGGTCCTTCATATCATATCTCATCGCCTATCTCTCCTTCATTCCTAAGCTCATTGAAGGCGCTGTTTATAATTACTGTCTAGGGACCCTCTTCTGTGATTCCCTCCTATAACTCCTACACTTTGGCTTCTGTTCCTTGCTTGCAACTGCAACAACTCTCACCAAACTCCCTGATGACAAGATCTCGGAAACAGTAGTCTCTCCTCATTCTTCTTGATTTGTCAGTAGTGTTTGCTGCAGTTGACCAGACTGTTCCTTTAACTTATGTCTTCTGCTGCTCTCTGTGGCTCTGTTTTGGTAATTTTCTTCTTTCCAAGCAATTTTGCAGAATGTCCTTCAAAGTTGTTTGGCGTGTTGGAGTTATGTGGGTGGAGGTCTTGGGGCTCTGATTTGGTTGTATTCTCTTGTGATTTTAATGCCCTTTGGATTCTTTCATACCCAAAAATAAAAGAAAAATGTAACAGCCAAATTTATGTGTAGATAACAGATCTACCTTTGTATTGAAACATATTTCCTCACACATCCACTTAATGGTTAGGAAACACACAAATGCAATTACAAAACATCCCACACAGCACTGCCTTAATTCTAGATTTCCTGGCAAATACTCAGACCGGACACATGATTAGTTTTGCTCTTTCACACAGACGTGCGTGTGTGTTTTCACATGCTAGGCACTCTGTACCCCACTAGCAGTACTCAGTGCTTGCCTGCCTATGTTCCAGCTTGCATGGAGTTTTCTGCAACTGACTCAAATTGTATTTCATTTCCTATAAAAATACAGTGAGATCTTTTCAAAACTAATTCCACAGGGCTTCATCTTAGGCCCTGTGTTCTTCAACATTTTCATAAATGACTTGGACACAGGACTGGAAGGGATACTAAGCAAGCTTGCAAATGATACAAAACTGTGAGGAGCTGTCAACTCCCTCAAAAGCAGGGAGGCCATGCAGAGAGACAATGACAAATTAGGGGGCTGGGCAATCACCAGCCATATGAAGGGAATGTGCCACGTTCTGCACCTGGGATGAGGCAAGGCTGGATGTACAGACAGACAGAATGAGATGCTGGAACCAGTGCCCCAGAAAGGGACCTGGGAGTCCTGGTCAATGGCAAGTTGAATATTTGTCAGCAGTGCCCTGACAACCAGGGGGGCCAACCCTGTCCTGAGGGCATCAGGCCCTGCCAGCATTGCCAGCCAGGCAAGGGAGGGGATTGTCCCTCTCTGCTCTGCCCGGGGGTGGCCTCAGTTGGAATATTGTGTGCGGTTTTGGGTGCCACAATACAAGAAAGATATTTGTGAACGTTCAAAGAAGGGAAACAAAGATGGCAAAGGGCCTGGAGGGAGAAGCTGTATGAGGAGCAGCTGAGGTCACTTGTTCTGTTCAGCCCGGAGGAGACTGAGGGGAGACTCACTGCAGTTACAACTTCTTCATGAGGGCAAGAGGAGGCCCAGACACTGATCTATTGTCTGTGGTGATCCGTGGCAGGACCCGAGGGAATGGCCTGAAGCTGTGCCAGAGGAGGTGTGGGTTGGATATTAGAAAAAGGTTCTTCACCCAGAGGGTGGTTGGGCACTGGAACAGCTCCCCAGGGCAGTGGTCACAGCACAGCCTGACAGAGTTTGAGAAACATTTCTACAATGCTCTCAAGCACTGGGTGTGACTCCTGGGGATCGTCCTGTGCAGGGTCCAGGAGCTGGACTCAATGATCCTTGTGAGTCTCTTCGAGTTCAGCGTATTTTGTGATTCTGTCTGCTATTTTATATCCTCTATTAAAAATGCTTATCCTGATGTATGTCTGGAGTGCGCTTTGCTCTTTTACAGCTGCATTTTAAGTATTTAGCTTTCAAATTTAATGTTATCACCACATCTCTACTTTTTATTCCAACTCATTAAGTGAAAATATTAGATAAAATTCTGCCAAGCTCATTCTTGATGAACTCTACTGAAAATTTGTTTTTTTTCATTCTTCACAGGACTTTGTTGTCTATCTGGTAGGAAATTCTTTTCCTGTCAGATTCTTTCAGTAATCCCTATTTTCTGCAGTTTAATATTGAATATCTGATGCCCAGATAGATTATATCAACCATATTTTCCTTGTTTAAAATGTCAGTCTGGTTGCAATGGTGTAAGTATGCAGAGAGTTCATAATCTCAAACAGATTTGTGTATTGTAGCAGGCAGATTCCTCAGGTCACCACATACTTTCATACCCCAGCAGGCCCAGCTGAATTATGTGAGCTCAGGCAAGTTTCTGCTCTCTGGTGTGAACCACAGGGAGTATTCTGTTGTTCTCGAGATACCTTTTGGCCTGCTTTTACTTTTGTTTGCCCTACTCCATCCCAGATGTTGTTCATGCCACATTATCACTACCAAATGCATGTCTTCTTGATCTGACATATGCAACCATTAGGAACCTGTAAAGATATGTAAGTAAAGGGAACATGTGCACATACATACTATATGTTCTGCATTTACTTAGAATTTAGTACTGTTCTTAATCACTTCATAAAAAGTGCTGTGGCTGATATTGAAAACAATTTCAGTAGATGTATGCAGTCACTAGCTCTAGGCACCGTAGTATTATGTAAAAAGCAATCCTTTGGGTCTGAAATTCTTCACACTTAATTTCATTTGAAAAACTGTATGCATAAAAAAATTAAGGAAATTATCCTGAATTGCTTTTCAGTTATGTGTCACTGAAAATCAGGACAGTGTTTAAGTGTTAACAGTAGCTACATTATCTTTAATGTAGATATGAAAATTCAGAATTTTGGAATTTAAACAGTGACATCTAAATTGGGGCTGGTAGTTAATGAATTCAGTGGCCAAGTCTCCAAAACCTGGTTTTCATAATGACATATAGATAATTGAAATCATGCCTAGTAGGCATCTGGATTAAAATTATGAGCAGGATGTAATGGACCCAACCACTTTTATGGAAACAAAATTCATTTCCATTTCTTTGTCAGAGCTAATCAAGCTCTTTCTAGATTTAAGGTTGGCTTCATTCTTGCTCTTACTTCTAGTAACTTCATATAAGGGATGGAATATGCTCTATGTATTAAAATATGGACATTTTTTCCACAATTTGTTTTTGCCTGTTACTGATCCTGATTTCACATTCTATCAATCAGTTTCTCCTTCAACTGCAAAGAAACAATACATCCTTTACCCCACAGACCTTGACTACATCCAAACTGGCATCTGTTCAATCCCTTTTGCATTATACAGTGTATAATTTTACATTATATCCTTCAGTGTTGAGCGAAAGGGAATGATGGGAGATCGATGAAGGCTCTTGTTCTCCTATTAAGCAGTTGAGCAACCTCCCACTGGGACTGGGGCTCTGCAGGCCCCTGTTGTAAATCCTTTTACAGTCACACTTTTGATTTTGACTGGATGTTTCTGGTTAGTTTAATCATATTCCTGATCAATTTAAGATAAACAATTAGAAGTTTAATTAGAATTTCATGGGTCTTAATTGTCACTAAAAAGAGGAATTTAAACTGAATTCTATGCTAATAGAGCATTAAGGCTGAACAACGGAAGTTTGGTTGTGGCTTTCAGTTTTTGTTCTTTGTGGAGCCAATAGCTGCTGAGGGACACAGTTTGGCTTCTCAGTTTCTTCTTGTCCCAAGGCATGCCTAAATTACAGCTTGCAATGGAGCTATAATTCTTCTGGGGCACTGGGACAGAAATGCCAGTAGAGAGGGAGCATGAAAGGTTCCTCATTCACCACAGTCCTGATGACTTATGTCCTCATTACAGTTCTGATGAGATGATGGGGCTGTCAGAAGTAGTCTGTGTCCATGGTTGCTATGATATGGATAGTATTACAAGGAATAAAGTGATATCTTTCTCTGAATACTTCGTGAGGGCAAGGCAAGGCCAAGTTTGAGCTGACTCTTGTAACTTCAGATGGAAATCCCAAGAAAAACCAAGTCTCCTACAACACTGTAAACTTGGCCACCTTGCCAGTCCTTTAAAACTCGTAACATATACTGAGCCTAAATAAAGATTTGCATTGCTGTTTTGTGATCTGAAAGGAAAATTGATAAACCTTTTTTGTCATCTGATGTAATTTTAACTTTTCATTCAAATCTTTATGTTGATTGGTTTATGTGTTCGAAATTATATTTAATCTATTTTTAATGTAACATGGATGAATACATACATACATACATACATTTATATAAATATATATAAACCAAAATATTGTGTGTTCTTTTTGTTACAGGTATGTGTCCTGTGCCTTGGGATGCCCATATGAAGGAAACGTTGTACCAGATAAAGTGGCAGAAGTAAGAGTGAATTTCTGGCTTGTCTTTTTAATAAATCAGAAATATATGGAATTATCTCTACTTAATCATAAAAAGATCTTTAATGGATAAAATTTAAGGAAAACAAGCAAAAAACCTAGCTAAAACTAAAACTTGGTGCATAACCTCACTTAGCCATATACAGTCAAATGTGAGAAAAATAGCATATTTTGATTGTTATCAGTCATGAGAAAAAATATTATGCAGTATTTCACCTAGAAATTACTTAAGAAATTAGACAAGAAATTACTTAAGAAAATAGACTCAAGCACATATGTCAGTGGACTATGTTGTACAAAAGGGTTTCCTACACAGCTTTTTGTTTTTTAAATCCATTTTATGCTGGAATAAGCACATTGTGTTGTCATTGTGCTTCTGGTGAGGGTCATGTGATGGACATGAACCAAAACTCACCTCCAATATGATTTCTTAAATTGCTCTACTGCCATGATGGAATAAGTTGCACTTTCCATCCCTGCCCCTTTTCCTCATTTAGAATATAAGATAAGGAAGAAGATACTTTAGTCCAGCCCTTTTTCCATAAGAGAGATGAGTGAAACAGAAGTATAAAATTTTGCAGGAAGGTAAAGAGGGCATCAAAACTTAAATGGACTGGAAAAAACGAAAGTGGAGTAAAAATTCCAAGAGGCTTAAGACAGAACATGCTAGCCTTCCACCTAGAGACAGACTTGTCTTCTCTGTTACACTTAATCACCTATTTTTGTCGATCTAGCAGAATATCCAAACCATTATTTTTTAATTTGTAGCACTAGCAACTAGTCAACATTTGCCTGATGTATTATGTTCTGTGGGTGGTTTTCAGGTCCTGTTCTCTGCATCTTCTTCTAGTCTACACTCCAGATGGAATTTGTGATAATACTTCCCCCACAGCATCCACACATACTCAGACTCTTTGGAAAAAAAAAAAAAAAGCTGGAAGGTTGTCAGTATTTCTAAATGTATTTGTTGTAATATGAAGTGAAGGTTAGAAATGACACAGCTTTAGTTAGAGCAGTGATGATATACTGCTTACTGTGTTCCCGAAAAGGTTTCTTTCCATGTGTTGCTTGTTTTTTACTGAGAAAAGCTCCTTTTACTGAGAAGAGCTCCTTCTCAGTTTGCCCGTGGGATTGCTATTTAATGTTCCAGACCTGCAAACTTTCACTACACAGCTATTTTATTTTCTATCTTCATCCTAATAAGTGTCATCTTGTGTACCTGTGTACCACTGTGTATGTGTTCATGATAAAAGCTACCACATTAAATTTATTAATTCCATCCCTGATTCAGCAAGCACTGCTGCATATATGGAAGCATCTGACAGCTTTTGTATAAATACATGCACAGAATCAGCATGACCAAAATTACTGGCTGAGTTGCTAAACTCTTTCAGAGAGCTTCTGCTCTGGTCATCATCTCTTTGGGATGGGAGCATTTTGACTCCCATGACTGTGTATTGCAATCAGCAGCTATGATTGAAAGGTTTAGACAGTTTCTTCTCCAGTCAGTAACAGTGACCATTTTCATTTCTTTTAAGCAAAATATTTTTTAACTGAAGCAAAAACCAATTAGAAGAGGTGAATTATTTCAGACTGCATGCATTATTACAGATTGTTGCAGACTACATTAATTTCTGGCATACTAGATATGTAACTGCTTTACACATAGTTATCAAGTGAGTGCAAAATTCAGATGCCTTCAGACTTCTGGAATCTATCAAATATATTTGTATGGTTCTTTCTTTAAAACAAAAAACAAAATAAGAGTTTTCATATCCTAAAATAAATTGCCTAGTCTTGTTACTCTGCTGATTCTTGAAAGGAAGTCATTGCTTAACCATTTATCATTTTGTCATTTGAGTATTTCAACTTTAGGCAGATAAAGCTTGAAAGTTTTCAGAAATACTGTATAACATCCTTGAAGGCAGTTCTATAATCCATTATCATATAACCGCATCACATACTTGGCTGTTTTTGTCTTTCTGCCTGCTTATTTCTTTCTTTGGCTTCCTTTTAACCTAAAGCAGTGAATTAATTAAGTTAAATATTATACAGGACACATTCTGACTAAACTATAGAAAATGTACCTACTCTTGTTTGAATATTATTGGATCATTAAAGTTTCCCTTACAGCACAAGAACTGAAGGTTTTTTAGATTGTTAGTTACTTAAAATAATCAATAATTGGATTATCGGCTTTTTTGGTGTTCAATATAGGAGTATAGTTTCTGATATTTCCAGGAGTAGGACTGTTCACATGCCTTAGAGATTGCAGTGCTGGTTCCCCAATTCCAATTTTGATCAATGCTTGGTGTCAAGCAATGTTTCCAAACGGAAACTCATATGCATAGCAAAATAGCTCAGTGGTGCAGAACACAACCCTGTTCAATCAACAAAGCTGAAAGCTCACATTCACATTCACATCCTGATTACATAGAAAAACAGTGTGTTCTCTTCTCCCACACTCTCCTCCCAAAAATCCACATTGAAAATTTACAAAACTATAGCTCACAAGCTGCCTTCTACTATGGTAGAATAGAAAATTCAGTACCAAAACTCCCATTCTGCTTCTAAGCTATAAATAAAATTTAGATCTCTTTTTCAGTTTAGGTTGTGATGAGTCAGTGATGATGCTCAGCTTGTTAAGTTTCATCCTCTCTTCTTCCATCTTTCAGAACTCTGCATTTAGGAAACTGAAAGACCTAAGGACTGAGCATGAAAAAGAAGTGAATGCAATATGATTTCTAGCAGTTTATATAGTCCAAGTTATGACTAAAATACTTACTAGAAAAACTTTGAATTGTGCATTAAAAAGAAGAGGGGGGAAGTGCAGTACATTTCTTTGCCCTGGTCTTGAAGAAACACTAAGGTTTGGGATTTAACTGACTGTAATCCACCACTATCTGCAGATGATCCTTTTTCTTTCTTACAACAGTAGTCTAGTTAAAATGCCTGCCATGTATTGATGATATAAAAATATGCTGTGAGATGAATCCCTTTTGCATTCCAGTGAATGTCCCTTTCTTAAAATGTATGTTGAATTTATGTGTATATTAACCAGGAAATCTGACTTTAAAGCACAGTTTTACCACACTTGCAATAGTCATAGCACTTCCAAACCTTAAACAGGATGATTCAGACTATTTCTTTTTTTCAGCTGTTCTTTGAATTAAGTGAACAGCAATATTAATCCAGCGCTTCCGAGACTGCTGGTGCAGCACTTTGTCTGCTTCCTCAGACATGCTCACAGCAATCCCACTGATGGAGCCCTGGAATTGTTTTAACAGCAGACTGCAGTGTGACTTAAGATGTCTTTTTGGAAGAGGGTTGTATTTTTTCATCTCTAAACAGTTAGTTTCTAAACTGGGATTCCGTTCCAGTGGAGTGGTCTTTTGAGATCTTTCATACACAGTGAGGAATCCTAAAGGGGACAAACATATTGAGCAGCTGAAAATAAGGTGGAATCTTTCCAAATGAATCCAACAAAAATAAGATGGAAAGCGCCTGCATTCAATTCCTGAAGCAGTATTTTCAGTGAAAATATGATTTTGTGCTTCTGAATGTGTTTCTCTCCATGCAAAAATTATGAAGCCAGACCTCAGTTTTCACTCATGCAAAGAACTTCTTGAAGACGTAATTCCAGAAATATTTAGGGCTCTGCTTACATAAGTAAGACCTATTTGTATATAGTTTTGTTTTATACTAAGAAAATTTTTAAAACTTAAGGACCAGAATGTTAATTAAGTTGCAGTTTTCCTTTGTTAGTATTTTAATTTGATTTCATGAAAAGCAAGCAAAATTGATATTGCAAAATTAATGTTGACTGCAGGACATTAAAATTTCAGATTTCATTGATTCTTTTAAGTGCCAAGAGAAAGAAAAATGAGATTTTTTGTTAATTATTTATTATCTTTGTTGACTTCATGTAATATGCAAACAAAAGAATAGGTCCTTACCCTGCACAACTTGTAAGCTGAAAAGTACATGGAGAAAACCTAACAGCTGGGAAGTCCCCAGAGAGAAGAAAATATTAGGAAAGGACTTGACAGAAATTAATTCATAATTTTTAAATTTTGCTCGTTTGGATAACATGGGAGAGTCAGAAAGCAAGTTTTTGATGGATTTGACTTGGTTAGCTATTCCACATACAGAATGTAGCAGAACTATAACTTTAAAATAAGAGGATCTGTGGGATGTTCTTCTCCTATGGCAATTTTCAACAATGAATATAGGTTGTCTGATAAATAGATCCACCTCAGTAGGTTCAAACCTAAAACCTGTACAGAAGTATGTCCTTTATAGTGTTTGTTCTTGACCCTATATTATACTCTTTCATCTTGACCTCTTGGTGTTTTTCTGTTTCCAATCAGGTATCTAAGCGGCTGTACAGTATGGGCTGTTATGAAATCTCTCTGGGAGATACAATTGGTGTGGGGACGCCTGGAAGTATGAAAAAAATGCTGGAAGCTGTTATGAAAGAAATTCCTTTGAGTGCTCTTGCTGTTCACTGTCATGACACGTATGGCCAGGCATTAGCCAATATCCTCACAGCCATGCAGGTGACTTGGTTTTTCCTTTTATAATATACAATAATAGTATTCTTAGTTTAATTCAATGTGCAATTTTTAAAAATCCTGCCATTAAAGAAATCATTAGAAGAGCAAAAAGGCACTCACTAAACTTTAGGAAAGTACTCCTCACACATCAATGAGATCTGGTATTATTGCTGTTGCTTTTACCAGGAAATGTCAAACCTTATATATTAATTAACCTTCAGTTCCATGCAAAATCACTAAGAAACAGTTATGATTATTACATTTCATTGACATTAGATGAAGGAGGGACATTAAATAATTCTTTTCTGATATCTCAGATTCCAGTTTTCTTAGGAACAGCTGTATTTTTGTTTTCCACTAAACTGAAATTTCTGCTTTGTGGATGTGTCTAAAAATAAAATAAAATAATGCATAATTACATCTTTATTTCAGATGGATAAATCAAAAATATTGGTAGTTATGTACACAGAATATTCTAGATAATTTTTTCACTATTCGTATGCCTTCATCATTCTTTTTTGTTTATCAGTTATGCCTTCCAAGTAAGATTAGCAACAACTTTATATCTTATTTAATCAGCTTTCAAATCTGTGCCTAAATTATCAGAGTTAATTTCCATAAGAGATTTAGAATAGGAAACAATTCAGAAAACAGACTGCAAGTTCTAATGTAGTTTTTGTCAAGATACAATCTTGAGAAATATCTTAAAATGCCTATGCTTTGCTAAGAAGAACTACTTTTACTAAGCGTTACAGAGTCATTAACTATTTACAAATTGTGGGCCTTTATTGTTCTATTTTATACCTAATGGTGTCTTCTGTTTCCATGAAATTCAGGCAGTCATTTTGAAGGTCAAAGTTTCCTTTGTCTGACTTGTTATTTTGGCAGAGCTCATATTATGTTATTTAGCTACAATTGTGTTAACTGTGTTAGTGGTATACACTACAAGAAGGAACAAGGAAAGTTCCAACATGGGAATCCACAGGTATTTGATTAAATAGGGAATGACAAAATCTGGTAAGAAAGGTTCTAACTTTTACTCACAGCATTCACTATTCACCCTTACTCACTTTTACTGTTACAAATGTGTGTGTATGTACCATGGGATAAATAAATTGTTAATTTCACAGTTAGGTTCAGTTGCAGATGCAATAGCTAAAAGCATGTAAACCCCTGAGCATGGGAGGAGTTGGTCATAAAAATACTTGAAGCATTGTTTTTCAAATCCTCCCTTTAAATAATTGCTGTCATGGTGCCTACTAAACACTGAACAATGGCTATGCTTTGTTAACTCCAGCATTTGTTGTAAGTGATTCTTGTCTCATGTTTACCTCTTGTTATCTTTTTATTTAGTTTGTAAACCAATTGTGTAAGAGCTAAAGGAAAAAAAATCTCTTAGGTACCTAATGTGCAGTTTAGGATAATTAACATGCAAATTCAAGAGAGCAAAAGACTTAAAAATAAATTCCTATGCAACCTTCTCATATTTCTGGGAAGGCAAGGGTGCCTGAGACCCACCAGTACATGTCTAAAGGTGCAGTGGTTTTGGCTCAGCTTAACTTGTCATAGGGTTTGCCAAAAGTCCTTGATGAAGCAGGCATTACACAGCCTCTCTGACTGGCTTTGTGCAAGCAGCTCCTTGGCTCACATAGAAGAAGATCCCCAGGCTTTTGGATCCTCAAAGAGATCCTGCACCTCACAGCGTCCTCTCTTGTCTCTGGTCAGAAACCCAAGGCAGCTAGCAGGGAATTATAACTCCTTCTAAAGCAATACTCCTTCTAAGACAGAGACTCCTAAATTGCAGGTAAGCTGTGTGGTGAAGTGCTAAAGCTGGTTTGTCAGAGTGCCCAGGTCACTTCTAGTCCCTGCTGTCAGCCTTGCCTGCTTTCCTTTTTGCCAAAGATACAGGAATGGCAGAGCACTGGAATAAAACCCCTTGTCTTTAACTCAGCTGCTGTTTCCTAAACCAATTCTTCTCAGACACAATTCCTTTCCCTTCCCCATTTATGGGTCTGCGTGACCGACACAATATTTCAGCAAGAGTGAAATGTGTTTGGGGGGTCATAGAAATAATAGGCTATAGTTATTGTTTGAAAACAAGTTTAAAGATCATTCAGCAGACAAATTACACTCTTCCTAAGACATTGCTGAACAACCCCAGGCTGAGTACTGTTGTATTGTATATTGTATTTCTTAAGAATTAATGAATGACAGCTGGAAAGCCACAAATCACTCTGCACTAATTCAGGCATTGCTTCGATGGGAGTTCTCCTAGGAGTGGAAAGAGTTGCTGGTAATTCAGTAAGTGATTTTTTATACGGATCACATTGTTTCATGCAGGATTATACTACCCAGAATGTTTTCTTTCGTTTGGGGCTGATCCAAAGTCATCTAGAACTGACAGGCTGTATCTGTATGAGAAATTAGGAGGGCAGGAGTCTTGAAATTTCAGTATTCAGTTTTATATATATTGTTTTAACAAAAGGATAGGTAGTGAGAGATGGGAGAGAGATTAGCCAACTTTTAAAACATAAGTAATTTTTTAAATTGTTGATGCAAATAATACAGATAGAAAGGAAATTCACTTCATTTTATGAAAATAATCCGTGCAAAAATGTGAGGAACATGAAGTGATGCTTTGAAAGAAACCAGTAAACATTTAAAGTAGAAACATGTCTGGCTCTTGGTTACATGGCTTAATATAAAACTACCAGAGTATAGAATTTACTAAACAGACAATTCAGAAGATGGGAAATGATGTGGAGATCTAGTTAGAGGTTATGGTATTTTGAGTAAAATGTGTGCATTGGATAACGTGACAAACACATAGTGTAGCTAACAAAAATAGTAAAACATTTATAGGAAATTGTTACAGACCTCTAAGGAAGGGTAAAAAGATGGGTCAAGAAACTTCTTTCTGGAGAGGCCCTGGTAAGGGAGACCTTACCTTCTCTAAGGAGATTTGAGTTTCATTGACAATTGACTTCTGTTGTGCATACAGAAGTGGAAAGGGGCGTGGAAAGGAAAGTGTTTAATGGAAGTGTTAAAGAACTCTTTTCCTGGAAAACTTTGTAGTTGCCAGAAATAGATTTGTCTGTCTTTATAACATATATTCAAACAAGAGAAAGAGGATGCTAAGAGGGAAAGAGGATATTTGTCTGGCTGTAATACCTGAATAAAAGAAACAACCACATGATTGTCCCATAGAATTTTATCAAATACAAATTGCTATCCTAATTCATTAAAATGAACTGATCCCTACACTATGAGGATCAAATTCTAACTTAAAGAAAACAATTACAAAACCCTAATGACATAGAATGACCAAGGATTTTTACCACCTTGTGTAATCATGTTCACCCCACTGGACACAGAGAGAGGATTGAGGTTGATTACATGCCAAATGAAACTGCATTTTATGAGTTCTATTTTTTTCCAGAAAACAGGATTTTTTTTAAATATAAATTCCCTACTTTAGTACCAAAATCAGAATTTATCAAGCTTTTAATTAAACTTCCAAGGTTCAGACTGCAAAATCCAGATTTGAGGTTTTTATTACAAACATAATATGCTCCCTTTTCAAAAGCTTAGAATATTTAATAACATTTTCTTAATTTCTTTGAGATCCTTGAATTTTAAAGATGAAATAAACTTAAGAGAAAAGTAAATCCAAATAAAAATGGCTGACTGCTGACCTTTTCCCTGCATCACTTAACTAAATTGATTCTAGTCTCTTGGTGTATGCTGGAGACCCTAACTAAACTGCATGTTTTTGTGCATCCAGTTTACTTTTGTAGTAAAATCTAGGTTGACTCAAAGGCACTCAGGATTGGCCTGGCTGTTTTAACTGCCAGAAACAGGAGAGGAATCTGAATGTAGGTGCTGAAGTTCCTGGTTTATTAATTTACAAGTATCATTTTTTACAGGAATAGAGCTTACAACAGCCAGCAGAACGAAATCGTAGAGCCTAAGTTAAGCAGTTAAAAAAATCCTGTGTTCAAAATTCCCTCCTCCATGATTTACATGAACTTCCATGCAAAACATTAGATGAGATGAATTTTCCACCCAAAACCATCTCCTGGTTTTTTTTTTTTTTTCCAAATACAGGATTTGATTTTTATAGCTGTTGAGCTTGCTTGAAGTCAGAAGCTTCAGGTGCAGGTTAGAGGCCAGCTTGCTGCTGAGATCTCTTGTCCAGGAGCTGCTTGCTGCTAAGGATCCTCAGTGCAGGCTCCCTCTCCATCTGGCAGTGGCTGTAAACCTGAAGCTCTGGTGCTTGGCCCTTGCCTGAGCTACTCTGCAGCAGTATTGCGATTGCTCTTGTGCCATCTGGTACCTCCCTGATTCTCCTTCTCATCCTCACCTGCTGGCTTCACTTACTGGCTTACCCCCAGACCTGGCTAATCTTGTCTGGTCCTGGTTATTGTGTCCAGAGCTGATTCCCATCTTGAATCTCTGACTCAGCTTCATGGCTTTCTTTTTCTGGTGATGTTGCTGCCACTGCCTGCCTGGCTATGGCTCTGGACTCCTTGCTTGCCTTCTTCTAGGGAGTTGTCTGTCCTTGCTGTGATTCAGGACAGTTGAGTCTTTAGAGAAGGGAACCAATAACTTGAGCTTTAAGGATGGCTTTTCATGGCAGGTGGTGCTGAGTGGGTGCTGAGAGCTGGCAGGTCTCATGTGCTTTGATGTTGGAGCTCAGCTGGAGGCTTTGTCTTGCAGAGGCAAGATATTCCTACTCACTTAAATTCAGAAAGCATTTCCTGGTGTCTGGGCGTACACAAACCCCTAACAGTTCTCCACTTGCAGCTCTATTGGTAAAAAAACAGACTCAAGAAAGCCTGAGAAATTGGTGTTGGTGTCTGACAGCACTTAAACACCTCTCTCAGGTGCCAGATTATGTTTGATGACATTTTCCTCTTGAGTTTTCAGATCTGCATTTTTGTGACTGACTTAAGAGAATATACCTGTAATGCCCATAGTGATGAATTTCCAAATAAATGCAT